ACCTGTGATTCTCGTCTGCGTCCTGTACTGTTTTGTCCTGTTTTTTGTTGACCCGGGCTTTCTGCTACTCTTTTGTCTCTTCCCCACTACACCCATTGGCGGCCCATTCCCGCAGCTGAGGTGTCTCGGGGCCCGACCTGTTCCTGGCTGCGTCAAGCCATCCCCACCTCGGGGGCCCGGGTGAAGGGCACCTGGGTTTAGACTCCGCGCCCTGAGGATTTTGGGTCGTGGGTGGGGGTTGTCGTCACCCAGTGCGTTAAAATTTTTTGGGCCCTGCCTGCCCCGTTCCTCACCCCCCTTTTACCCCCCCCTTCCCCCTGTACATACCATCACTGTCATCCCTTTCCACACTTTCCTTCCCCCTTTTCCCCGTCAAACTTTCATTAAACCTCCACACCCTCTCCTGTACATACCACACGTCATGAATCCCCACTTTCAACTCCTGTACATACCGATCACTGTCATACCTCTGTACCCTCTCCTGTACAACCATCGCTGCATACCCCACACTCCTCTCCTGACATACCGATCACTGCTACCCCACACCCTCCCTGTACATACCGACACAGTATAAAACCCCACATTCAACTCCTGACATACCGATCACTGTCATACCTCTGTACCCCTCCTGTCAACCAAAATTTACCCTTCAAATACCCCCTTCCAACCTTAAAACTCCTTTACATACCGATCACTTCATACCTCCACCCCCTCTCCTGCAAAATCACGTCAACCCCCTTCCCCCTTACATACCATCCTTCATCCCCCTTCTCCTCCCCTTACATACCATCCTGTCATACCTCCCCTCTCTCCCTTACATACCGACCCTTTTCATACCCCCACCCCCCCACCCCCCCCCCCCCCTACCCCCCCCCCCCACCCCCCTCCTCCTTCATACCGATCACGTCTAACCCCACTTCCCCTGTACATACCACCTGTCATACCTCCCCCCCTCCCTGTCATACCATCACTGTCAAAACCCCACACCCCTCTCCTTACATACCGTCCGTCAACCTCCACCTCCTCTCCTGACATACCGATAAAGTCATACCTTCACCTCCTCTCCTTACATACCCACTGTCAAAACCTCCACTCCCTCTCCTTACATACCGACACTGTCAAACCCCCCCACTCCCTCCTGTACATCCACACGTAACCCCCACTCCCCCGTACATCCCGATCACGCATACCTCCGACCCTCTCCGACATCCCGATCACTGTCATACCTCCAACTCCCTCCGTACAAAACCGATCACTGCTACCCCCCCAACTCCTCTCCTGTAATCCCGATCCTGTCAAAAACCCCCAATTTTCCTCTCCGTACATACCGCACTGTCATACCTCCACACTCCTTCCTGTACATACCGATCACTGTCATACCTCCACACTCCTCCCTTAATACCATCATGTCAACCCCCCACTCCCTCCGTACATACCTTTCCTGTCAAAACCCCCCAAACCCTTCCGTACATACCAAAAAAAAAAAATTTTTCGGGGGGGGGGGGGGGGGCTGGGGGGGGCCCCCGGGGGGGGGGGGTTAACCCCCGCCCCTTTTACAAGTCCTGTCAAAACCTTATTTTTTGCAGAACACTGTACCTTTAATTAAAAAGCCTTGGGGTCTGCTGGGGAAGAGAAATAAACTGTCAGCAGAGCATGCAAAATGAGTGCCGTCGATCTTAGAAACACCGCCACTTTCATTTTATTTGGGGCATCACGGGGGCCAAAACCAGAGTGTGGAGCCCCAGTGTGGCGGGGGAGGCAGCAGCAATGGGGGCCCTACAGCACCCTATGACAAAATGGAACCCACCAGCTGTGAGGAACCTGAAATGGCACATGGCAGAGTGTGGCGATGGAGACAGCGCAATGGGGGGGCCGTACAGGGACCCATGAACACCTGGACCGGCACAACAGAGGAGGCGGAACAGGGGCCCCATGAAGATTACGGGGCCCGGCAGCAGCATAGGGTCGTACGGGGCCCATGGCAATTACGGCCTGCAGCACATGAGGAGGCGGACGGGGGCCCAGGCAAGGGCGGGGCGTAAGACAAAATTTAAGGGCCCTACAGAGGCCTATGTTAAAAAGTCCCCCCAGCGCAGCGTGGGGGGACGACTACAAGAGTCCAATGGCAGAAATGGGGGGAGCAAAGCAGCTTCAATTGAACCTACACAGGCCAGTTAAAAAGCGGAAACCGCAGCACGTGACAGACACAGAGGCACATGGCGCAGGGTGGCGGTGGAGGCAGCAGCAAAAGAAGGCCATACAGCCCCTATCACAAAAGGAACCCACCAAAGTGAAGGAACCAAAGTGGGACAGGGGCAGGGTGGCGGTGGAGGGAGAGTATTCGGAAGACATACACAGGGCAGTTTAAAAAACGGAAGCCTCCAGCGGAGAGAGACAGAGCACAGGGGCAGGGGGGCGGTGGAGGGGAGCAGTATTTGGAAGCCAAACACACCCTTAAAAAGGAACCCACAGGTAGAACCGAAGAGACACATGCGCAGGGGGCGGGGGAGGGAGAGAATGGGAAGGCCCTACACACCCCACAAAAAGGGGAACCCACCAAAACCAAAAGGGTAAGGGGGTGACCGGGAAAAAAAGTTTTGGGGGGGGCATAAGGCGGGCCCCCCGGGGGGGGGGGCGGTGGAGGCAGCAGTATTCAAGCCAAACACAGGCCGGTTAAAAAACGGAAGCCGTCAGCAGCGTGAGCAGAGACAGAGCACAATGGGGGGGGGCTAAAAGGGTGGCCCCCCGGGGGAACCAAAGGGGATTAAATCGGAGCCATAACAACCAAAACAGGGCCCAGGTTTTTAAAAATGGAACCAGCAGGTGCAACGACAAAGACGCCATCAAGGATGGTCTGGCAGCAGTATGAAAGCGGAAAAGGGGCCCGTGGCACAGTGGGGTGAGGGGGCTACAGCAACGGATGCCAAAAGGGGCCGAAAGGGCTATAATTTCGGGAAAATTAAAAGTTGTAAAAAAGGGTAGTCCCTTTGTTTTGGGGGCGCTGGGAAGCGGTTCGGGAAGGTTTTGAAAAGCCCACCCATTTTTTAAAACTGAGCCCTTCCAACGGGTGGACAGTCCCCCTCCGGGATTTAAATCCCCTGCCGCCAAAACCGCCCCCCGACCCAGCTATGGCCGGGGGGCCCCCGGGGGAAATTGCGGAGGAAACTTTCTTGCCAAAAAAAATTGTCTACCTCGTTGGCGGGTGCGTCCAAGTGGGCCCAAACCTTTTTTTTGAGGTCCGCTCCAGGCCCCACCTGATCTGCTGCTGCGGGGCTGCTGCGCTGCTGCGGCTGTTAGTATTTCCCTCACTGCGCTGTGAAGAAAGCTACCATCATCGACTGCAGACGGGGCAGCCGCTGCTGGGGGAGCTGCCCTGCTCCTACCACCCACCCCCCCCTGCTGCCATGGCAGGGAACGCGACGCACGGGGCCCACAGTGTCTGAGGGGGACGGGGGCGCAAAAGGCAAGCCAACTGCGACATAGGTGGTTTTTATAGAAACGTTATTTTGGCCTCCCCTCACAGTGTGAAAAAGCCACCATTTTGAACGGAAGCGGGGGCCAACAAGGTGGACGCCAAAATCATCCCCTGTCTGATGGTTTTTATTCGGCTGTCGCTACCAAGCAACCCGGGATGCTATGGGCCATTTTTGGCCAAGGGAAAGCAGGGACTCCCTCCCCACTCCACAGCATACGCCACGGGGGCGTCTGGGGCCCTGTCTCCTCCCCCTTTCCCCTCTACCAATCTCCCCCCCTCCCTCCGTCCGCTGAGTGAAAAAAACCCCCCATTTCCCCTAAAAAATTTCCCTTTATCACCCAATGCCCTCCCTCTCCCTCCTCCTCTTTTTCCTGCCCTTTCCCCCCCACAGGGGTAAATGGGCTTGAAAAATCTTTTGCGCCACGTCTCCCGCACCCTGACCAGCCATTTTTAAACCAGAAATTTGTTCCAGGACGTGCAACAGAGGAATACGTCTTTCATCCCCATAGCCCTCCGACTCACAAAAGCGTGGCCCTCCCAAAGGGCCGAGCAAGCGGCAGGTGTCACGCATGAGCTGCCCAAGGGCTGAAAACAAGTTCCCACAGGGGAGAAACCTTTTAAACCCGCTTGTAACATCAGGAAATCGGGGGATGGCCTTTTGCTGTTTTGTAAAAAAACCGGGCTAAAATTTTGTAGGGTTGAATTTTCCCCCTTGTTTGCCTCGCAGATCAGGCGATCGTGGAATTTTTTCCCTTTTGCCGCTGCAGCTCAAAGGGGGGTGTTTTGCGGTGTAAATGGCTAAATGCAAGCAAGGTTTAACGTGACATTTTAAAAGGGGTGCCCTTTCAGGGGAAGGTGGAATTTTTGGAACCGCTTTACAACCAATTTAACACTTTAGCCATGCATGGCGCATGGCACAACCTTTCCCTTTACGCAGAGCAGACAAACCCTGTTCTTTTCCCTTGTGGTCAACAAGGGGTTTCCCATTTTCAGTTTGCGGGGGAGACAGCCAAACTGTCGATTTCCTGTTCATTTTCACTCGAATTTCCCCCCCTGGGGGACTAAAGTTCGCCAAGGCATACCAGGGGCAGCACAGCGTGACACCGTTGCGCCCGCACATGTGATATCCCGGGGTTGGAAAAGGACTTGGCACGGGGTGGCGGCTGAGGACACGGGGAAGAAGAGGTGGAGAGGCGGACATCTTTGCTGGACCAAGGACGTGAAAGGGGAGGCAAAACGGCGGACCGCCCAAAGGGTTCGGGTGCGGTGGCCGGCCCACGTTCACCCAGTGGGCCGTAAATGACGTATGTCCCTGCCCGTAGTTACAGCTCCACACTGGCGCGCCGTGCACTTTGCAAGACCGACATGCTCAAAGACGGGCCCACCATCTCTTCACATTAAAAATGCGGGGCCCACTGCCTTTTTGGCGAAAAAATTCCGGTTGCACTCTCCACCGGGCTGGCCAAGCCTCATTTCTGGGAAAGGGCGATCCACCATTTGGAAAGGGAGGGACTGCAGCACCAGAAAATTGACAGGAGGACTTTCAGCTTCGAAACCGTCGGGTGCGTGCTCGCAAACGTTGTCTCTTGGGGAAACGGATTCCAAGAAAGACTGCTGACGGAATCCGTGAAAGGGAGTAGCGGGAAAAGGAGCACGACCAGCGGGAAAATCCAAAAGCGACAACTCCCCTTAGGAGAGGGTTTGGGGCCTTGAAACCCGGCTGAAGAGGGATTGACGTCGGTGACGGAGCAATAACGGGCGGGTTAAAGGAGGGGGGCTGGGGCAGGCAAACCGCCGTATTTTATCACGGTTTTTTCCCCGGCCACCGAATGGGGACCGCATAAGCGACGCAACGCTGTAGTTTGGGCCCCCGCACTCCTCACTGGCACCCCACTTCCCCGGCAATTGCCCCCAAACGGGCCGGGGGGGGATTTTCAACCCCCCTCTCCCCGGGCCTTTCCTCCCGGCACCCGCACCACTCTGCCTTGGGCAACCCCCCCGCGTTTTTGGCCACTGGCCGCTGGCACCCCCCTTCTCCCCATGATGCGGAAACAATACCTGATACGACGAGGCGCCCAAAGGGGATCAGCCCCATCATCACAATTAGGGGCTCCCGCACAAAAACCCCCTCGGGTCGGTGGGTCAGGAACAACCTTCCTAGACCGGCTACCGAGCCACTCTCCTCGCCGTACTTTTTTCGCCTGGGGCTGAAAAGGCGATCCCCCCCGTCCGGACCGCCCTCTGTTAGCTCTTCCTCACTGACAGTGGGCTGAGCCCCCAGCATGCGATACTTCCTTGGTGAGGGAACACCAAAGGACAGGGCAGGGGAGGACACGGATTTTTATGGGCTTGCTCCCGGGCCATGCCAACAACGGTTGTGTCGACTACCACCGACCGTTGGCTGTAGTGCGAGGTGACCGGGGAAAGGAAGACGACCGGTCAACCAATCGATGAGGCGGGGTTGTCGGGAGACACACCGCTGGGTGACCCGGACACTGGCCTCTGGGTGCGACTAGTGCTGCCTCTTAAATTCAATAACACCCCAAAAATAAAACCGTTTTAACTCTTTAACGACAATAGTGTTTTGAAGCAGAAAGTCAGTATTATTTACACAATCGTCAATTGCACTTGCCCGTGGCTGCAACGTACTTTATTCCCGAATGCACTAATCCCCAAAAAAAGAATACCGCCACCCTGCTGTAAATATCTAACTCTTTAACTACAATATGTTGTAAGCAGAAAACAGATATAATTTACACAATCCGCAAACTCACACCAACTTCACACAGCCACCAAATAAAAAAATTGTAATGTCACTTTTAATTTCATTCTTTGATAGCGTGGCCCAATACGATATCTTGGTCCCAGAGTAACGATTCTGTGTCCCCTGAGTAACGATTCTGTTCCCTGATACTTTCTTCCCTAATTACGATTCTTGATCCCTGAGTAACGATTCTTGTCCCTGATAAACAATTCTGTGTCCTGGAGTAACGATTCTGTGGCCTGCTAACGATTCTGTGCCCCTAAATTCTCTGTGGCCCTAACTCTGTTCCCTCAATACACAGAGGTCTGTCTCTCTTGAAATGAACCGTATGCTAATGGGACGAATTCTAAGATTGGCCCCGCCGAATTTATAGCTCCACCATTACAACAAGTTCGGCTAGGATGGCTGCACTGATTGGCGAGATGCGATCACATGTCATGATCTATGCCTCATGAATCATGATGGGTCATGCGCTGCCTTGTCTGCGCGCCTTCCCAGAATCCCCGCCGCTATCTTTATCTTGTCCATTTCTCTCCTGTCGCCACACATGTCGCCGCAATTTTGGGAAAATTCGATTCGTGCATCCGAAGTTTTGCTAATCTTCGGCATTACTTCGCGAATAGAAATTTTTCCAAATCTTCGACGAATTTCCACTATCGGTCATGTTCCGATTCGCCTCATCTCTAGCAACTGATCACAATACTGGCCCGGCCATTCCTTAAATACACCTCCTGCAATCAGCCCTCAGGTGATGCCGATTGCAAAGAGTGGAGTCTCATGGTTGCTGAGTAGCACCCCGCAGGTCCAGCCCTGTTACTGCCCCCCACAAAGCAGTGATTCCCACCACCATTGCAATCCTTTGGCAATTATTTTTTTTTTTCCATTCCTACACTCCTCACAATAGGTTAATGGTGCTTCAGATGGCACCAGTTGTTTCTATTGTTTGTTTTTTTTCTTATTCTAACTATGTCTCTTCATATGTTTTATAAAAGGGTAAAAGTGACACCATAGACAAAGCAAGTTATTGTTCTGGTTATGATCTGTATCAGTTGCCACAACAGACCTATGACATGAAATTATGACGTCCATTGTCCTGGGCTTAATGTTTAGAATACTGTGCGCACGTTACAAACTTAATTAACCACTTTGCCTACCAGGCCACATCTAAACCCCCTTCTAGCACCGGCCCAATTTTCAGCTTTCAGACGCTGCTACACTTTGATTGACAATTGCGCGGTCATGCAACCATTGTAACACAAATGAAATTTTGATCATTATATTTTCTCACAAGTAGAGATTTTCTTTTGGTGGTATTTATCATCGCCACTGGCACATTACTTTTTGCGGCTATAAATAAAAAAAGTTCAAAAAATTTGAAAAAAAAAAGTTTTTTTTGTTCTATTATAACATTTTTTCAAAACAGGTATTTTTTACTCCTTTACTGATGTGCGTTGATGAGGGCAGCAACTGATGGCACTGATAGGCCGCAACTGATGGCAACTGATAGGCAGCACTAAAGGGCACTGGATGGCAGTACTAAAGGCACTGATTAGGCAGTACAAATGAGGTGCACAGATAGAGCGGCACTGAATAGACAGCACTAATGAGGTGTCACAACGGATAGGCGGCAACTAATATGCAGCACTGATAGGTGGCACTGATAGTGACACTGATGAATGGGTACTGATAGACGGCACTGACTGGCATCACTGCTGTGCACTGACTGGCAGCCACTGACTGTGCACAACCCCTGGGCACTGACAGGTGGGCACTGACTTGGCAGCACTGCTGGGCCTGCACTGTTGGGTGTGCACTGGTGGGCACACCTGGTGGGTGGCACAGGATGGGTGGCACTGGTGGGCACAGGTGGGGTGGGCACTGCATGGTGGCACAGGTAGGTGGCACTTCTGGGCACAGGTGTGTGACACTGCAGATGGGTGTCACAGGTTGGTGCACTGCTGGCAACAGGTGGGTGCACTTCTGGGCACAGTTGGGTGATCAGCTAGGGCACAAGTGTGGCGGAGCTAGTGTGGCGCACTTCTAGGCACAGGTGGGCGGACCTTGCTGGGTGTGCACTTCTGGCCACGCTGATCAACAGGGCACGTGATCATCAGTGCCCTGATGATCGGTGCCGATCCCCGCTCTTGACAACCTGCCGGTTCTCGCCAGTAACTTTCCTCACGATCTGACAGCGTAGGAAAGTGCAGCCGAGAAACCGGCACTTGCATTTCCCTCTGATCAGCGTGGTCATTGGAACACCGCTGATCACGTGTAAAAGGCCGCAGAGGGTGGGGGGATTCGGGGGATATTGGTGGCCTTTTACCACATCACGAGAAGCAGCTGTGTCCGTATGACACAGCGATCACGTGTAGATCGCCGGGTGCTGCGCCCCCTGTGGCACCAGAGAGCGCGTTCTGTGAGGAAACGTCATATGACGTCCACCCAGAACTGGCCTGGTGCCGCAGTGCCTGCCGTTCATTCGGTTATCCTGCGTCCGGGCAGGGTAGTTAATAAAATCTATTTGATTAAAAAATACTGGTAGATAATGCTGTACATATTCTTTCTATTCATAAGATATATTTAGTAATGGAGCATTAAAAATAGAAAGCAACTTTATGTAGCCCTTTATATACAATTTTATTATTTTATTTTTTTTTGTACAGGTGAAGGATGATGAACCAAGTTTTCCGTCATGTTGGTCTTCATGAATAGAGCTGAGTCACATGGAAAAACATGACATATGGGTGTCTTAAAATTGACTGAAGTCTTTATTGCAGTTCACTGGAGGATTCACACGGGATACAAGTCATATCTGTGTTCTAAAAGTCATGGTTTGGATCCTCTTCCACATTGATCCAGCAGGAGAAAAGTAATTTCAGTGTTCTGGAAGTGACAATGGCTTTACAAAAACGTCCAACCCAAATATACATAAGAGGAGTCATTTCATACTACTTCTTGTTTGGCAAGATTTTTACAATGGAGAGAAAATATATCACACACCAGAAGGTTCACAAATGGAGGGAAGTCATATCAGTGTTCTGACTGTGATAAAGCTTTTACATGGAAGTCAGATCTTATCAGACACCAGAGGATGTTCACACTGGAGAGAAGCCATATCAGTGTTCTGAATTGATAAAGCGTTTTACACAGAAGTCACAGAACTTATCTCACACACCAGATGGGATTCATTCACACTGAGAGAAGCCATATCAGTGTTCTGAATGTGATAAAGCTTTTAAAGGAAGTCACATCTTATCATCACACCAGACAATCACACTGGAGAGAAGTCATATCATTTTCTTGGATCAAGCATTACAATAATCAGTCTTTTCACACACCAGACTTCACACTGAAAGTCAGTGTTCTGAATGTGATAAACTTTTACACAGAAGTTCAGAACTTATCACACACCAGAGGATTCACACTGGAGAGAAGACATATCAGTGTTCTGAATGTGATAAAGCTTTTACAAATGGAAGTCAATCTTTATCAGACACCAGAGGATTCACACTGGAGAGAAGCCCATATCAGTGTTCTGAATGTGATAAAGCTTTTACAAGGAAGTCAAGTCTTATCACACACCAGAGCGTTTCACACTGGAGAAACACCATATCAGTGTTCTGAATGTGATAAAACTTTTACACAGAAGTCACATCTTATCAGACACACCAGAGGATTCAACACTGGAGAAGTCATATCAGTTTCTGAATGTGATAAACTTTTACAGTGAAGTCACATCTTATCACACACCCATATGATTCACACTGGAGAGAAGCCATATCAGTGTTCTGAATGTGATAAAACTTTTACAGTGAAGTCATATCTTATCACACACCAGATTGTTCACACTGGAGATCCTGGAAGAAGCCATATCAGTGTTCTGAATGTGATAAAGCTTTTACACAGAAGTCAACATCTTATCAGACACCAGAGGATTCACACTGGAGAGAAGCCATATCAGTGTTCTGAATGTGATAAAGCTTTTACAGTAAAGTCAAGTCTTATCACACACCAGAGGATTCACACTGGAGAGAAGCCATATCAGTGTTCTGAATGTGATAAAGCTTTTACATGGAAGTCATATCTTATCACACACCAGAGGATTCACACTGGAGAGAAGCCATATCAGTGTTCTGAATGTGATAAAGTTTTACACGGAAGTCATATCTTATCGCACACAAACCGATTGATTTCACACTGGAGAGAAAGCCATATCAGTGTTCTGAATGTGTTAAAGCTTTTACTCACAATGGGGAAGTCACAACTTATCAACACCAGAGGATTCACACTGGAGAGAATCATATCAGTGTTCTGAATGTGATAAAGCTTTTTACAAGGAAGTCAAGTCTTATCACACACCAGAGGATTCACACTGGAGAGCAGTCATATCAGTGTTCTGAATGTGATAAAGCTTTTACAGTGAAGTCAAGTCTTATCACACACCAGAGGATTCACACTGGAGAGAAGTCATATCTGTGTTCTGAATGTGATAAAACTTTTTTACAAGTGAAGTCAATCTTATACAGACACCAGAGGATTCACACTGGAGAGAAGTCATATCTGTGTTCTGAATGTGATAAAAAGCTTTTACACAGAAGTCACATCTTATCACACACCAGATTGATTCACACTGGAGAGAAGTCCATATCAGTTTAATGATAAAATGTGACAAAGAAGTCACATCTATCACACAGTTAATGATTCACACTGGAGAGAAGAGCCCATATCAGTGTTCTGAATGTGATAAATTTTACACCTGAAGTCTTTCCCCCCCCCCAGAGGACCCAGAGAAGCCATTTTTTTAAGATTGTTCACACTGGAGAGCATCATTTTAATGCTCATTCAAGTCACATGTACAAAACTCTTACAGCCACTTTAATGCCTGCTAAATTAAATATTTTTCTTTTGACAATTTTTTTTTAAGATAAGCATTAACCAAAAAGCTTCCCTCATGAGAGTATCATCTTTATCTTTTTTATGGAGCTTTGAATGAACATGCAATGAATTTTCATGATTCACCAACTGAGTTGTGTTTCCAAGCATTTTCTTCATTTCTGGATCCTGAGGTAATACATGACCAACACTGCCTCAGTACCAGAGACTAGGATGGGGTCTATTGTCTTACCAAGTCTCTGAAGCCTCAGTGGGAGAGTCCCATTCCAGGATTTCTGACTATTGATACAGCATCAGCCAGGCTTGAGGTCTCCAGCTAAGCCCACCTTGTCCACTCCTCCCATTACCTGTTCCATCTCCTCTCCCATTATCAATGCCTTCTTTCCACATTTCATCTCCTCTCATTATTATTATTATACAGGATTTATAGTGCCAACAGTTTGCTCAGCGCTTTACAATACAACGGGAGACAATACAGCAACAATAATGTTAAATACAAGAGGGATAGGAGGACCCTGCTAGTTATACAAAAAGGTAGTAACTGTGGGGGATGGACTGGTTGGAAGAGTAGAAGATTCCAGTATTAGCTGAGGGCAGGATATGCTTCCATGAAGAGACAGGTTTTCATAGATCGCCTAAAAGTGAGCAGAGTAGGCGATAGTCTGATAAATTGGGGTAGAGCATTCCAGAGGATGGGGAAGCTCTGGAGAAGTCCTGGAGATGAGCATGGGAGAGAGGAGACAAGGGAGCTAGAGAGCAGGAGGTTGTGCGAGGAGCGGAGAGTACGGTTTGGGGGATATTTGGAGACAATATTGGTGATGTAATTTGGATCAGAGTTATAAATGACTTTATATGTTATTGTTAATGTTTTGAATTTTATCCGTTGGGCAATGGGAAGCCAGTGGAGGGATTGGCAGGGGGGGTGGAGGACACTGAATGGAGGCCAGTGGATGGATTGGCAGAGGGGGGTGGAGGACACTGAATGGAGGCCAGTGGAGGGATTGGCAGAGAGGGGGTGGAGGACACTGAGTGAAGGCCAGTGGAGGGATTGGCAGTGAGGGGTGGCTGATACAGAACAGTTAGTAAGGTGGATGAGTCTGGCAGCAGCATTCATGATAGACTGAAGAGGAATAGCCTGCGATGAGGTCGGCCAATGAGGAGGGAGTTACAATAGTCAAGGCGAGATATAACAAGGGAGTGAATAAGTTGCTTAGTGGTTTCCGAGGTTAAGAACGGCCATATCTTGGAGCTGTTGCGGAGGTGAAATCTACAAGATTTGGACAGTGATTGTATTTGGGACTGAAAGGACAGATGGGAGTCTAGGATTACACCTAGTACCCTGGCATGAGGGGAGGGACTGATGATTGTGTTATTGATCTTGATGGAGAAGTCAGGGAAGAGGGCACAGGCTGGAGGGAATACTAAGAGCTCAGTTTTGGAAAGATTGAGTTTGAGGAAGTGGAGTGACATCCATGCCGATATGTCGCTTAGTAGGGTAGTAATGCAGAGGAGACTGAAGGGGCAAGGTGAGGAGGACTGAAGGGGTGAGGTGAGGAGGAGACTGAAGGGGTGAGGTGAGGGATAGAAAGATAGATTTGTGTGTCATTAGCATAGAGGTGGTACTTAAAGCCATGGGAGTTTATCAAGTGACAAAGGGAGGAGTTGTAGATGGAGAAGAGTAGGAGTCCAAGGACGGAACCTTGAGGGACCCCTACAGAAAGAGGGAGTGGAGAGGAGGAGGCAGAGTTATAGGTAACGCTGATGGAGAGCTGCGATAGATAGGAGGAGAACCAGGAGAGAGCAGAGACTTGGAGGCCAAAAGAGTTGAGTTTTTTGAGAAGGAGGGGATGGTCAACTGTATCAAAAGCTGCAGAGAGGTCAAGTAGTAAGAGTACTAAGTAGTGGCCATTGGTTGGGATGAGTACAGAGTAGTGGCCATTGGTTGGGATGAGTACGGAATAGTGGCCATTGGTTGGGATGAGTACGGAGTAGTGGCCATTGGTTGGGATGAGTACGGAGTAGTGACCATTGGTTGGGATGAGTACGGAGTAGTGGCCATTGGTTGGGATGAGTACAGAGTAGTGGCCATTGGTTGGGATGAGTATGGAGTAGTGACCATTGGTTGGGATGAGTACGGGGTAGTGGCCATTGGTTGGGATGAGTATGGAGCAGTGACCATTGGTTGGAATGAGTATGGAGTAGTGGCCATTGGTTGGGATGAGTATGGAGTGGTGGCCATTGGTTTTAGCAGTTACTAGATCATTAGTGAGGTTTAGTAGGGCAGTGTCAGTGGAGTGTAGTGAGGGAATTCCAGACTGTAAAGGGTCAAGAAGGTTGTTGTCAGTGAGGTGGGAGGAGCTCAGGCGATTGTAGACTAAGAGTTCTAGGTGTTTAGAGGTAAATGGCAGCAGGGAGATGGGTTTTAAGTTGTTCAGGTTGGTGGGTCCAGGGAGGGCTTTTTAAGTATGGGAGTGATGTGCGCATGCTTTAGAGGGGAGGGGAAGGCACCAGTAAAGAGGGAAAGATTGAAGATGTGAGTGAGGAAGCATATAATGGAAGAAGAGGGTGACCGTGTAGTTGTGAGGGGACAGGATCCAGGGGGCAGGTAGTGAGACGGGCTTCTGAGGAAACCTTAGTGACCTCTTCGGTAGTAGAAGGTCAAAAGAGGAAAGTGTTGAGGGAGGTTTAGTATAAGGTATGCTAAGTGGGATGGATGTCTGTGCAGTGGAGATGCCGCTACGAATTGCATCAATCTTGTTTTTGAAATGATTTGCAATCTCGTGAGCAGTGAGTGAGGTACTGGGTGGAGGTGGAGAAAGTAGAGAGTTAGAAGTAGAGAAGAGACAACGAGGACTGGATGACAAGCTATTGATGAGAGTGACAAAGTAGGCTTGTCTGGCAGCATGGAGGGAGGAATTGTATGTGAAGAAAGCAGATTTATATCGGGTGAATGCTTGGTGAGATTTGGTTTTATGCCACATTCGCTCCAGCACACGACTATGTCGTTTAACCATTAGCCGCCCGGCCAATGGCCGTTTGGCGGCTTCAAAACAGTCTCTGCATTCCGGGTGCACGCCATTTGGCGTGCTCCCGCACATGCGCCGTTTGCGCTAATGCAGAGCGACGCAGCAGTGCAATCTGTCATCAGCCGTGCACCTCGGACACGGCCGATGACAGATCCGAGTACCGGCTCCCGTTGCCGGTACCATGTGACCTGCTGTGACCAATCACAGCAGGTCACATGACAGTTGTATACAATGGATGGCTTCATTTCATGATGGATGGCTTCATTCATGATGCCATCCATTGTATACTAGTGCCTAGCTGTGAATGGTCACAGCTAATCACATGCACATGTCATGTGATTAGCTGTGGCCAAATCACAGCTAAGCACAAAAAAAAAAAAAAAAAAAAAAAAAAGAAAAGCTGAATGAATCGATTTCATTCAGCTAAATGCTTGTTTATAGCAAAGTAATTCTTTGCTATAAGCAAATTGTGTAAAAAAAAAAAATACTGATCACTTCCCCAAAGTAGTACAATGTTACTATGGTAACATTGTACTATTTTGGTCATAGTAAAATATGAAAAAAAAAATCTTAAAAAAAATAAAAAGAAATGTAATAAAAAATTAAATATAATAAAAAAATAAAAAAAAAAAAAAAAAAAAATATTTTTTTTTCATACTGTCACCAGTCAGTGTCCCTGTTCACTGCCATGCCAGTTATATGATGACGCTGTACTGCACTGGTGACAGGATGTAAAAAAAAAATAGTGAAAATAATTTTTTTAATTTTTTAATTTTCCGAAAAATTATGACAAAAAAATACAACTTCAAAAAACTCGCCATTCCTCTTATGAAGTATGTCGGACTGTCTACTCTGCAAAAGGTATATCTGTACTGTTCTGACATTTGGGGGATATCTGTACCGTCCTGACATTTGGGGGATATCTGTACTGTTCTGACATTGGGGGATATCTGTACCGTCCTGACATTTGGGGGATATCTGTACTGTCCTGACATTTGGGGGATATCTGTACTGTCCTGACATTTGGGGGATATCTGTACCGTCCTGACATTTGGGGGATATCTGTACTGTTCTGACATTTGGGGGATATCTGTACTGTCCTGACATTTGGGGGATATCTGTACGTCCTGACATTTGGGGGATATCTGTACGTCCTGACATTTGGGGGATATCTGTACCGTCCTGACATTTGGGGGATATCTGTACTGTTCTGACATTTGGGGGATATCTGTACTGTCCTGACATTTGGGGGATATCTGTACTGTTCTGACATTGGGGGATATCTGTACTGTCCTGACATTTGGGGGATATCTGTACCGTCCTGACATTTGGGGGATATCTGTACTGTCCTGACATTTGGGGGATATCTGTACTGTTCTGACATTCTTGGACCTCAAGAAATTAGATTGGCTGTCAGTACTTCAGGATTGATCAATATTCAGATCTATACCATAGTTTGTGAACTCTATAACTTTCCTACAAACTAAAAAATACATCCTAATTTGGGTTATTTTCACCAAAGACATGTAGCAAATACATCTCGGCCTAAATTTATGAAGAACAATTATTTATTTGTAAACTTTTATAACAGAAACAAAAAAAAACGTGTTTTTTTTTCAAAAATTTTGGTCTTTTTTTGTTAATTTAGCAAAAAATAAAAACACCAGCGGTGATTAAATACCACCAAAAGAAAGCTCTAGTTGTGTGAATAAAATTATAAAATTTTAGTTTGGGTACAATGTTGTATGACCGCGCAATTGTCATTCAAAGTGTGAGAGCGCTGAAACCTGAAAAATGGCCTGGGGGGAAGGGGAAAATTGCCCGGTATTGAAACGTTTAAGATCTCTGTGTTGTCAGTCTGCCAAGGTTGTAATGGGCGGGGCCTGATGCTTCATGTTAGAGGAGCAAGTGAGTCTAATGTGGATGAAAGTGAACTGTTGTAGACAGCAGTGGCCAGGTCAGGGCAGGACAGGGGAGAGATTCTGTCATAGAGTTGGTCAGTTGCAGAGTGGAAAGGAGAAGGGTTCAAGTTGTGAAGGTTTCTGCAGGTGATTGCTGATTGGAGGGATAAGTGTTTGAAGATGAGGAGACTGTGAAGGTGATGAGATTGTGATCATATAGAGAGGAAAGGGGGGTGTTTGTGAGGTTGTAGGATATCATCTCATGGGTGACAACCTTTCAGGCAGGTCTGTGTCTGTGACACCAGCTAGAAAGAAGTCTCTGTTCAGTGAGAAAACAACATCCCAAGCTGATGCAGGCCTTCCAATACTGAGTTACTGCTGATTTAGGGGATGTATTCAGCAGTAAAACGTAAGCCCAGCTGGCCACTTGTGTTCCATGTGGTTCTGCCAAATGGGATTCCATCAGGTGAAGATCAGAAATCCTTGTTCCATGTTTTCTCTTTCC